CCCCCCCCCCATTTTTGCACATGTCGAGGAGCGTGTCAGGCTACATTTCACTGTGTGTTATACTTGTATAACTATGCATGTAACAAATAAAGAACCTTGAACCTTGAACACCCATTTTCTCCTGCTTATCCTTTTCAGGATACCAAAAGCCCTCATTACTCTGAAAATTGTCAAGGAAGGACTGAAAATGAGTGAAAAAGCAGCCAATGTCCAAAGAAAAACCTTGGAACACATCCACAAATCCTGGTTACCAATTGGTCAAAACCGCTTTAAAAATTAAAAGTCTGGCTGCTTGGAAGTAAAATATTGAGGAATGAAGGGGGGCCTCAATCCTATTAACGTCAAGTTGCAAATGGTTGGCAAAAAGAGAAAGGTATATGTTTTACAGAAACACTGACTATTAAAAGTCTATTTTTTTATTTTTTATTTCAATCAGTTCCTATTTGGTTGCTTGTTGTCCACGTTATGTTTTCCTTTTGTCTTGTCATATTTTTAACTGTTATCACAACACTGGCAAAGGTGCACGAGTTTGAGTATTGCTTCAGTGATGTAGAATATAGTCCATTTTCCACTACATAAAAAGCACACACTAGCTCCAGTGTCCTGTCCTCTCAGGGGGGTGAATCCATGGGGTCCTCCACGGCTTATGATTTATTCATATATGGAGTAACATTCCAACAGTCTCCCTACAAAACCTTTCTTATACCCACAGCCCCCCAATTCTCCATTCAGAAATATACTAGAGTATAGGCATAAAGCACTGCAATGTGGAAAATTAATCCAGGTTTATTGGCATTTATGTTAGATGCTGTATGTGAAAGCAAAAGGCCAAGCAAAAAAAGGGAGTGCACCGGATCATGGTAAAAACAGTAGCCGAATTTCACCTCCAAAGCCAGTACCGAGCCTCAGGTTGCTTGCTTTTCCACAGCACATCCATTCATAATTTACCATATAACCTACAAAGGTGGATGGGTACGTGGACGTGCAAAGTAGTGGTGAGACAAGGAGGGGAGAGAAGCACATTTGACACTTCAAAGCATTTTAATGCACCGTTTGCAGCATGAGAAATGAACGTGTATTAGAATGGCTTTTTAAAAAAAGTCCTTTGTACTCGAACACAACGCAAGCTGACACAACACAGGCAGGTGATTAGTCCAGAATAAAAGAAAAGGGAAAGCAGTGTGTGAGATGAGCATGGGTCTCATAAAAACAGACACTCACACTGACTGACACATACACATACACTCCCCTTTTCTCTCATGCATGTTGAACTCTTTCTTTTTGGCAGTGGAACTCCCTCCAGTTTTGCGCTTCCTCCTCAAAGACTCTCATGTATTTTTCATGCAGTAGAAGCCTTGTGTGTCCGGGAGGGCTCTCCACTGTTGCAAGGTCATGTTCTACACCAATATCCTGATATTATTGGTCTGTAATGTCTCCATGGATGACTGTAAATCAGTGCTTACATGTCTTGACGCTCTGGCGACCGTCATGGCTACCCTGAAATAAAACTAAACCTACATCTTTCCAGCTAATACTCACCAGAAAGTCCCAAAAACAGAATAATACCGTCATGTGTCGAAGATGCTGTAGATAAAGGGACCTTCACTGACGTCGCTGGGTACCTACTACAAGTCCCACAATGCGTCACTCGGCTTTTTCGCTTTGCTGGCGATGTTGTTGCGTTCAGGTACTACTCGGGGGTTTTCTCGTTAGACATTTAAATCTCAACCCCCACATAATAACTAGTAGATGGAATGAATCCTCAACTTAGTGTGTGTGTGTGTGTGTGTGTGTGTGGTGGGGGCTCAGGGAAACATATTTAAATGATATTATGTGTAGGCTAACAGCCCTGAAGTAATATTTTAAACATTAAACAGTTTGTATTGTCTGTGAAAAATAAGCTAACATTACTCCTACTGCTTTTTATGCTAGTTGGTAACCGTAGCTCGTTGAGTCGTCATTTTTTAACTATAAAACAAACTAATGTTAAAACAAGTTAACAATGCCACATACTTAGCAATGAATGTGTTATTGCTCTGTTAGTAGGATTGACAAATAACTAGCTCCAACCCCGATTGAACCCATTGCCGTGACAGTTTTGAACAGGGCATTGGGCTACAAATACAGCCTGCTAAAGCTTAATCATTCTAAAAAGTATGAAAATGCTGGTATTTAAATACGAACAGCGTTCATTTTCTCCAAATCTTCCGACCATAACAAACAATAATTTCGCAGGGGGCTCCAAAGTGCTCTGACCTCTCCGGGTGTCACATTTCCCACAGAACCTAAAGGCAACGCGTCTCCGTACCACTACGAGCAGCAGCGGCAGCAGCAGCAGCGGCGGCTGAGGCGCTTTCTCTTGCTGTAACCTAAACAATGACTCCTACTACAGAGCGGAGGAAAGCACGCCAGTAGAATGCGTTACACGGAACCCAAACCTTGCTTTTCGCTGCTATTCCGACCACTCACTTAAACTTACCGACAGTAAACATGTGGATACCTACAGAACACGAGAAATACGGCGTCGGTAAGTTTAATTTGCCTTCATATTCCTCTAAAAAAATAAACTGCTTTCACTCGCGTTCAGCTGTAAGGGCATGTGTTAATGTGCGCACGGGAGGTGGTGAAGTGGCTGTACTTGGATGCTGATTCCCGGCGCAGTTAGAGACCGAGTGACTGTGTTTTTATCACGAGGCGAGCGCTCTCTTTCAAACAACCCAGTGATGGGAGCTTGGATTTCATCTCACTGCCACATTGCAAAGCATAAGGTTGCCCGCTTCACCCCCTCCTCTTCTCCCCCCTCCTCCTTCTCCTCCTGATTTGCCAAATGCCACATTTTTGATATTTTTAAGTCTTGCTCGCGCTTTGCCCTATTTTCCCATTTTCATTATGAGGATGTGAACTGGCGAGCTATTTTGACTTCACTACTGCTGTGTGTTCGCTCAGGCTCTGTCTGTTTCAGTGGTGGTGGTGGGGGGAATCAGCTGCTTCACAGCCAGTCGCTATATGTCTGTCTGTGTGTGCTTTGCCCAGCATCTAGAAATTCTTCGAAAGAAAGCCGAACGGGGGGTTAAAATTATTGTTATTATTATTGTTGATGCTTTTTCTACCACGGAGATTGTCCCAGACCTTGAGAAGTCCTGGAAATGTGTGCAGCCTGTCGTACAGTGCGCATTGTTCAGACTGTCGGAGGGGGGGCTCTTGGATCAAACAGTGAAGTGAGACAAACAAGCGACAGCAAAGCAAACGAAGCCAAATGTGGCAAAGGAAAGAAAACCCCACACAGACTTTTCCCTGTTGGTGTGGCAGGAATTTTCGTCTTGTGCCTGGATTCAAACGCAAAAAGAAAAAAAAAAATCCAGAGGGTGAGGGTGGTGGTGGGGCATCTTATTGAGATGCGGCCGCTGAGAGGCGGCTTAAATGTCTCATAATAATATTCCCTAGAGATATTGTACTGTCCTCTGTGTGTGTGTTGCTCTGGTTGAGTCTGTGTAAAAAGGAGCCAACGATCATTTGAGCTTTTTTTTTTTTTTTTTTTTTTTTTTTTTGCAACTAAAGCAAGCCAACCCATTCAAAGTAATAAAACTGTGATCTGTTAAGCACAGGTACTCAGTGTGTTCATATCATGCCTTCTTTCCTTGGTTCTCAATGTTGTCTGAGGTGTTCAGAAATCCCACTGTGGGTGCTATGGGTGGTTTTTGCCACCTGGACTTGAAATCGGTGAAGCACAGCGAACCAGAAACTGGCCTTTGACCTCTCCATGTCACACGTTTGTGATCTGGTCACCTGAGTGCTCTACTAGTTTCCCTTCCCTGCCCTCATAAGTGCTAAATATCTGACCTTCCTCACTCTGCAGTTATATTGTAATGTGTTTAATCACGTGCAGGGTAGAGTGTCCAGAACCATTAGCCTGCACCATTTTATTTTTTTTTTAACTTTTTTATACCACATAATAGATTTATTCCATTTAGCTACTTAAACCCATTCCATGCTGTCAAAGTTCACTTGGCTGGATAAATGGAGGGCATTTATTGTGAAAGCTAAATACTCACTATTGTATTGTCCCTCCGCTGCTAGAGGGCATCCTGTTAATTGGATTAAGGTTTTTGATCC